ACTAGGGAAACCCTGTGTCGCGGGTGCTATGGACACACACATAGACAACCACAAATTACACCCAAACTCACGAGAGAAACAAATGTAGGCCATATAAATATTTCTCCCGGACCGGGAATCGAACCTGGGACCTCTGCGTGGCAGTCTGGTATGGTAACCGTTCGGCCACGGAGGCAGTCAAGCATTACAAGCACATGGGACTTCTCAATTTATATCTCCGGGTGACGGGCGCAGTGCCAGTGCCCCTCAGATCTTTACGATATAAAGCTCTGAGTGGTACTGCAACAGTTATCGACAGGCGTGTAGCTTACCACCAGGCGCAAAATTTGTTCCTCCCGTCACTTGATATTATAAAAAAAAGTTCGTATGATATAAAAAAAATCATTGTATATGTAAAGCACCTATTGCATACAGTTTTGTTGTAGAATTTGTGTTTTTTTTTCTATCGTGAAAATTTTTAGGAATACTGTTTTCACACCATATTATAGTAATCAGTGTATATCCTCAATTTTACTATATATTTTGATTGTACACTTGCACTGTTAAGGCGCGTTCCCACTGTATCGTCACGTTTTATTATCGTTGGACGACTGTCGTGTCTAGCCTATTCCCATATCACGACTATCTGTCGTGGACGATTTTTTATCGTTGAAAGACTGTCGTGACTAGCTGTTCTCACTAAATCGTGACGACAATTTATAGTTTCACGACAGCCTCCTTACCCATCTCTGGCTACGACCCAACGCTACTGCAAAGCGAGCCGGTACGAGGGCGCGGGGTACGAGAGGGGAGAGCAGGGAGCAGAATACATGCGGACAGCGATAAATAAAACGTGACGACAATAGGAGCTGCGACAATTTGTCGTCACGTTTTTATCGTGACTTTTTTTATCGTCTGACTACTGTCGTTCTAGCTGTTCCCACTGTGACGACAGTTTGTCGTTGTAACGATAAAAAAATCAGACAGTTAATCGTGTCGTGCTATATGTGAACAACTTCATTTAAATATACAAGCCACGACACTGTAAACTGCACGACAATCTGTCGTCACGACATAGTGGGAACGCGCCCTTATGCGGAATCAACCAAAGTCGTTTGAGGTTAGTTGTTTTCTTAATTACTGTAGGGGAATTTTATATATATTTTACTTGCACTAAGTCGGTAGGCCTGAAATATGATAAATAATGTAAATCTTAAGACACTATGACATTACGGTATGATTTGAACCTTGGTCTGACGCCACAACCAGGACACGTTTGCGCGTGTGCAGACAGCGCCTTGCTGTACGTAGTAGTAGTAGTAGGTTTAATAAGTTTCTGTCGTTGTATGGAGTGTCCGGGGTGTGCATAAATGCTTCGTCATGTGAACAAGATAGCTGACAATACGAGTAAGTTCAGGTGTATTGAAATCACAATAGTACACTCTACTAATTAACAATATAAGTAAGAATTTATTAGTAAAATTATACATTGTTAAACTTACCTCAGCCAATGATGTATTCCCTGGTATTTTTAAGCAGAACATAAACGGTGTGTTGACCCTCTTCAAGATCTCGCGAAAGTCAAGTGTCACTCCGCGCGGCCGCATCAGTCTGAAGTACGTGCACAACGACGAACCTCGCGATGCCAGATAATTACCGAATAGCCGCATGAATCCGCTACCTGCGGGTGAAAAAAGTTGGTTATTCATTTCAAGTTACAAGTTCAGTTTCAAGTCTTAAACTAATTTATTCCCGATGACCTTGCCCTAAATTAAGCACTTAATCACAGAACAATAAAAACAGTCGAAGTGCTTAGTCGGCGTGATACGTATACCAACACTATGTGGAGTTCTACATACTTGAGGTCAGTCATTTCTTTTCATTTGAGGGAAGTCATTTTCGCTTTATACGTTATGGTCGTGTCAATAATCTCGAACCAAACCTCTTAAAATCATAGACGTGCAAAATCCACTTTGAAGTGCAAAATCGATAGCCACATTTGTAATGGGATAACATTGGTGGTATTTCATATCATGGTTAAGTCTACATTTATTTAATTTTATTAAATTTTTAATTTTCTGTTCATCGTAATATTTTTTTTGTTACAAGAAATAAAAGTAAACCTTATTAACAAGCACTGCAATGTAATCGCTTCTTTTTTAGAGAACTAAGTAAACATCTCGAAATCGTCGTCGTTCAGCTGTTGACCGCTAGAAGGCAGCACATTGATTAAATTTCAATATAAAATCAACGATATGTCACCAGGGTAAGGTTAAAAAGTAGCCATTTGGAAATGGTTTGGTTGTAATTTTTTTTATTTGTGTCGTTATCTGCCAAACTATTATTATTATCATATCATTCCCTTCCATTGCCACTTAAGAATAAAACGCTAGGTGGCTCAATTATATTATGCTCGAGAGTGTAGAAACACAGAAGGCAGTGAGACGAAAAAAATTATTCCCGTTCATCGATCACTCAAGCCCAAAACAGATCCCACTCCCACTTAAGATTACGCAAAATAAACGACGCATAAAATCCTCGTTTACGTCGCTTTACCTAAGTCTGCCGGGTTTACGACCACTTCCAGATTAGCAATAATTATTAATGGCATCATAAGGGATTTCCTTTCCAATACGCATTCCATTAGTTTGTAGATACGGTATCACATATACACGCATAGGTATAATTGGGTTCTTTTTTAAATTTAGAAAGAAGAAAACAAAATTTAAGACAAACTAATTGTGAAAAATTCATACAAGTTGATATAAATGAAATAACCAGTGAGAACCCTAAACTTAAGCCCTTAAGGTCTATCCACACATATCCGGGACGTGCCCGGGCCATGGACGGGCCGTGCTCCGTCATGGGCTTAAAAAAATATCGTTGCGTATATTTTGTATGAACTCGTATTTACACATGTCCGTGTCTGGGCCGACGCCGGGACAGGCACGCAGTTCATACAAACTAACACGCCCGTCCAAGTCCCGGGCGCGGCCCTGATGTGTGTGGATAGTCCTTTAAACACATTGTCATCTAAGTAAGTGAAGATCTACACGTAAGGGAAGAAAAGGTGTTAAAACTAATTCTATTAATAATAATGTAATTAGGTTACATTTTCAAACCCTGTCCAGTAAACGTTCAAAGTTTTGTTATTTTTGTGTATATTTTTTATAATATTACGGGACGAACAAGCGTACGTCACACCGGTCGATAAACAGTTACAGAGCTTTAAATCGCAAAGATCTGAGGGGCACTGCCACTGCTCCCGTCACTCTGAGACATAATAAACTGCCTCCGTGGCCGAACGGTTACCATACCGGACTGCCACGCAGAGGTCCCCAGGTTCGATTCCCGGGCCGAGAGAAATATTTGTATGGCCTACATTTATTTCTCTCGTGAGTTTGGGTGTAATTTGTGGTTGTCTGTGTGTGTGTCCATGGCACCCGCGACACAGGGTTTCCCTAGTGCGGGACTATGTTGAAAAAAAAAAAAAAAAAAAAAGTATATATACTGATTACTAAGTTGTGTGAAGACACGATTCTTAAAAATTTTCACGATAGAAAAAAACACAAACTTACCTCGAAATTTTACTAGAAAACCGCTGTATATTTAACATGTATTTTACGTTTACCAATGATGTTTTTTAATATCAACTTAACTAAATAGAACACGTACACTATATGATATAAATTTATCAAATGGCTATAATTTCGTTTATATAAAAATAAATTCTAAAATAAAGCCAGTAACCCTGCCGCTCGACCCAAGCAAAATGAACCGTATTAGTACCGGGAAAAATTGGAATTCGAGCTGAATTAGTATCGATTCTTAATACAAATATCAAACACAAGAAACATTCATTCGATCCGGCTAGATACGAACCCGCGGCCGCATCTTAACGTGGCTGTTTTCTTATTCGCCAAAATATGTATTTTTTTGGAAATGAACCGTCCTTGGTTATTGTCTGGGTTTTCTGGGTAGCGCCCCGGAGTGAATTCTGTTACTCTGGTACTCATAATAATTTCCTAGTTCGAGACCAGATCCTCGGTTTTCAGTCATAAACATAGTTATAAAAATAAGAAGATTTATTAACCAAAACGTTTCTAATTTTATTCCTGTTGTAAATTTTGTAGTTTAGCTTTTACGCCTTTTCTTCCCCAAAGCATTTAACAGTTTAGTAAGTACCAATTCAAACTCGCCTTAAAAAGTCCAAGTTATATTATCTCACTTGAGACCACTTTACTAACCGATTGGTTAGTAAAGTGGTGCTGTTTAACAAATAAGCTAATCAAAATAACAAAGTATATTTTTTTTTTGCTAAAATTTATTATTATGAGTACGAGCACTATTTAAAATATTATCTTTAGACCTTCTTACAGTGCAGGACGATTGAGAAATGATTTTGGCTATATATTTAATGTTATCCGAATGGTTGTTTCCTATTTTTGACGATAATAAAAGTTAAGAACTCGTTTCAAGCTGTAATCTAATAAAATAATCACATTTTGCAATATATATTTTTACATAATTTCGTTGAATACTATAAGTACAATAAAAGATTACATTTAACATCATAAATAATTTTGTGACACTGGTAATATAATCAGGATGAAAAGCATGTCTTGTGCCGCAATTTTGTCATGTCATAGATGTCATTCGAGCTTCGTTTCTCGAACTCAAATATTTTCTTATCTCCACAGTGCATTTGTTAAATTACCATATGTTGCTGTTAAAATTTTTGGTTATTGCTAATATTTTGTAATAGATAATTAAAATTGTAGAACATGAGAATTTCGTTAAAAATAAAAGGTTTAGCACACCGGCGGCACTTTGACTATGACAGTTTTTTGTTTTCATTTTGGACATCTAATTACGATTCATATTATATTTGTTATGATTATTCATACAAAAATTCGAACAAGAAATAATTATGTATCTCTTTTTTATAATATCAAGCGACGGGAATACAAGTCGTGCGCCTGATGGTAAGCTACACGCCTGTCCATAACAATTGCAGTGCCACTCAGAGATCGCAAAGGTCTGAGGGGCACTGCCACTGCGCCCGTCACCCTGAGACATAAGTTGACAAGTCTCATATGCCTGTAATTTCACCAGCACTCTTACCCTTCAAAACACAGTAATGCTGACATCAATGCTTGGCAGCAGAAATAGTTAAGCTGGCAGTACGTCCCTATACGAACTCTTTCACAACGAGCTGCTACTAAATCTATCTGATCTGACAACATTTCAAAATGATTAAATCATGTTTAAATCGCTATCTAGAAGGAATAGCGAAACATAATACGCAGGTATTTGTTATCTAAAAAGCGAAACGTCTTTTATTCATTAAGCTCATAAACATCGTCTCCATCATCACCTGGATACATCGTCTATAAATGGTAAATTACGTATAAATCACTTCTTAATTCCATTTTCGAATTGTGCCCGATCTATTTCCTTCTAAGCTCTATAACAGTTGATAAAAAGTTATCTGTCATGTCGATATCATCTGTCACTGTCACAATTGCAGCCCGTTCCTTCCGATTTCCATCAATAAATCAATATCTTGGAGGGAGAGTTGATATAATATTTATTAAACTTTAGCTAAATATAGTAGCACAGATAACCGCGGCAAGACGTAAACTGAATTCTACGAGCACGCGTGTATTGTTTGTATCGTACCAGCTGTAAAAACAGTCCTCTGATTTCCCAAACACTTTGTTTTTGTAGTCGACAGCACTAATGATTTAAATTGAACTTTATGCCACTACTTATAAGCACAGCTGATTCTACATATTATAATCCACAAAAAAAAAAGAATCACCACTTTGACAATTGTAAGTTCGACTCTGTAAAGATACGTAAACTGTATTTCGGAGACAAACAAAAAATAAACGAGAGGGTACAACAGACGGCCGTATCAATCTTTCTATTCTCTTTCAGCAACCTCGGAGTTAAAGGATAAACTTAAAAACAATATCATATCTTGTTCAATGACGTATCTGAACACGGTAACGTAATCAAAGGTATCGTATAGTTATTATTATACTATTAAACAAAATCCCGTCATCAAAAGAGAAAATTTGTTCATAGTTGCGTTGTAAAAGAGGAATGTGACCGTTTTGAACTTTTTTACTATAGCAGTAGAGTATGATTCGTAATTAAACAATTAACTAAACATTACATTACAACATAAATTAAGTAAACAATTCGTAAAAGCTAATGTTTGATATTCAAAGCAATTTTCACACAGTAAATTTTACAATTGAATATTGTTAATGTAGACTTTGGGCGCATTCAAATATATATGCTTATATAAGCGTTGCAGTGGCGCCACTGTGACACTGAATCCGCGCCACTGTTAATATTCATACAATATTTAGAAGCGCACTTTTCTGAGAAGTATGGCATTAAAGATATTTCAGTTTGAAGTTTTCGAGGTTATGTTTTACATAAATTGAATAAAATATATTCGGTGTATTATTATACCACAATAAAATACAGAAGTCGTAAACAGAGTTAATAAAAGCTAAGTGATGCAGTGTGTTTCTAACGTGACGAAAGTTCAGAGGAAATATTATATATAATGGTATTGTCAAAAAGCATGACGCTAAGCCATAACAAAAGAAAACTGAGTTTATATATACTCGTACAAACTCGGACACAAATTATTTTTTTGTG